GTAGAGAAATTAGATGCTTCTGAGCTCAAGAAACCTGATGATGGTGCACAAGGTTCTGCTCCGTTTTCAATTGGGAATGCAGGTTTGACACAGGAGGGAGGCAAGCGTTCATCTGCAAAACGCCGCCTGTATGAAACCTGAGGTATAACACGTTGAATCACATGATGATAGTTTGCAGGAAAAAAAAGGCTTTTAACTTATGAACTTTAGTTCCACTCATAGAATATGCAATTAATAATACAGTTATGCTAACTTAGTTTTATTTTCCTTTTGTTTACAAATGTGGTGCTGTCTCTAAGACCTATGGATTGTTATCCAACAAGTAATAGTATATAGGGTTAAGTATTTTAGTGACTGGTGAACTTCTTGATATGTTGTTTATTTTCAGCTTGGTGAACTTGGGAAGCTTTTGCTAAGAATATTTAGGGCTCCTTTTGAGAACCTGCTATCTGATGGCCCTATTGATGGCAAATGTGTGTGAACTATCTGTAGCCATGCACAAGTGTGTATGTAATGTAATATGTTGTGCCTTGGTGTGCAGATACTGTATGCAGTCTATGTGCTGTATCTTTTGTTCAGTGAATCATCTAATGAAGTTACTAATGTATATATTATTAAACCAGCCAATTGTGTATGATGTTGTTGCAAATGAGTATGTGTTGCAGCAGATTGCTAAACTTTTGAGTATGAGGACTCTAAACAGTGGTCATATACATAAAAAGACACACATATATTCTTTCCAACACATTTTAATGTTAGAATCATTGAATAAATATAACCCATGTATTCCATTTGACAGTATTTGGGCATTTGGTTTCTATATGAATATGTGAATCAATTGGATTGTTCTTTTTGCTGTTTTTATGCAGAATGTAAGCAAAATTAATGGTAATGAAATTTTAACACATAACACACGTCAAGCCATGGTTGGCCTATAAATTGATTTACTTAAGCTCATTTAGCATATAGGTTTAAGCTCTTGATCGCAAGTGATACTGTCGCCATAAAACATATGCTTTCTGCTGGAAAAAATATACACATAAATTTTATGAGTTGTTGGATTCATTAACTAATGATATTTATAGTATCTATAATAAGAGCATCTAACAACAATTTATATAGCTAATTAAAATATATTGTATTCTGCAGAAAGTTATCATTGCTTGATGTGATGAATGTAGTCCTTCCCCCAAAGGGAATTATGTGGACAACCATGGGTTAGTAATTAATGTTGTGTCAAATCAGTTTTAGCTTTATTCATTTCTAACATATATTATTTTGCTCATAAGTTGGTTTCTATGATACTAGCCATCATGAATACAGAAAATTCCTTGAGAAAACCATAAATGAAGCCTGTGCAGCAAAACAGACAGCAGTAAGAGATCCTGAGTTTTTCTTATCATTCTGAAAGATTATTTCCATCCAGCACACACTTGGATGATCAGGTGAAGAGATCAGGTTAGTTAATGCTTATTTCTATGAAGCATACATCCTTTATATCTTTTCATAGACCTTGCATTCAATACAAAAACCCTCACAAAGAAATCAATGCAACAGATGCAGCAAAACTGACATCATTAAGAAAGCAGAACACATGATCATTGTGTAAGACCATTCAACAGGAAATCCAGTTCATTAATTGCATAAACATGTTAGTTATTGCATATATATATATATATATATATATGAACCATTACATCATCGAGTCATTTGACTTTCATTCAGTTATCAGATTCTCCTTTTACAGTCTTAGTCTGTCATTTATACATACTGATCCTTGTTGCATATTCAATTTCTACATTTATATCTTTTGACATATTAATGATTGTTCTAAGATATATTACACCCCATTTATACAGGATGCCTCCAAGGAAAAAGCCATCAACTTATAAATCATTGAAACGTAAAAGGGGGTTAGTTTCAGCTGCTTTTGATCCCTCTAATGATCCAGTATCTTCGTTTCCTCAGTACCAGATTGAAAATGTAAGGATAGACAGGGGATCACGCCAGCTCCCATTTACCCTTTTGGGACAAGAAACAAATTACTCAAAGGATTCAAACGTTGCTGGAATATTTCCAGATCCATATGATGCAGGTGCTGCTGCCTCATTCTAAAAAAAAAGTGGTTCTAAGAAGGTTCCAGCAGCAAGAAGACCATTGTATAATGATATACTCAATGTGGGGAAACCAGAATGTGTATGCCAGCATTGTGGAGCAATGTTTTGGTATGCTGAACGCTTGGATCGCAATCGAAAAACATCAAACCCAGTCTATGGGTTGTGCTGTCAAAAAGGAAAAGTTAATCTGCCTCTTTTGAAACAACCTCCTCCACTTCTTGCTCAGTTACTGGATCATAATGGTGGAGCATTATCTAAGCATTTCAGGGAAAACATCCGTCCATACAATGGATCGCTGTGTTTTACATCCTTTGGAGCAAAGCTGGATCCTCACTCGCTAACAAGTAGAGGACCGTACTCGATGGTAATTTGTGGAGAAAATTATCATAGAATTGGATCTTTACTGCCAGTGGATGGGGAACGTCCCAAGTTTGCTCAATTATACATCTTTGAACCAGAGGGTGAGCTTGATAACAGATTGGCTAATTTTGCATCGAGGGAATCTGTACTTCTACCTGAGCTACCGACACAATTACTCAGAATGCTTGATGAAACAAATGAACTGGTGAAGACTTTCAGGCGCATTCGTCAAGAGTTGCAACAATCCTCTACAGTAAATCTTCGGCTTCGTATTTTTGGAATCGCAAGTAGAAATCGACAGTATGATCTCCCTACAAGTAGTGATGTTGCTGCATTGATTCCAGGAGACTTCATTGCAGATAGAAATGATAGAGATATCATTGTGGATCATCAGAATGAGGGTTTAAAGCGTATCTCAAGTCTTAACCCTAAGTTTGAAGCTCTACATTTTCCTTTGTTGTTCTCATATGAGAAGATGGGTACCATCCTTTAATCAGCATAACAGTGCCTGCTGTCCACCATCAATGCGGAGGAAGTTTGTTACACAAAGAGAATACTACGCGTATAGGCTTCAATATCGGTTAGCTGAGGGACACACATTGGTAAAGGCTGGTAAAGCGCTGCAACATTACTGTGTTGATGCGTTTTCAACTATTGAGCTTAACAGACTTGCCTTCTTGAGATCCCATCAACAACAATTAAGATCTGAGGTATACCAGGGTCTTAAAGATGCATTCGTTAGAGGTGACATGCAACAATTGTATCATGATGTTATGGCAACGTGTCAATACTATGGAAATCCTGATTTGTTCATCACCTTCACCTGCAACTCTTTATGGGAGGAGATAACAGAAGATTTTGACAGCATTGTCGGCCCTAACAGCGAATTCAAGCCCATGGTTGTTTGCCGGGTATTCCATATGAAGCTTGCCATTCTCATTGACGAAATCAAGCGGGAGTCTTACTTCGGCAAAACAGTGGCAAGTATGTTACAATTGGTTTTCCTATTTTTTTATTTGATGCCGCAGTGAATGAAGAAAACCCAGTTACTTTGCTAATTCATGATTACATTTCTGCTACTAACCAATACACATTTATCTTCCCAACAGTTATGTATACTGTGGAGTTTCAGAAGAGGGGACTTCCACATGTGCATATGCTGATTTGGCTTGCAGAAGAGGATAAATTAAAAACTACTAGCGGCATAGATGATATGATTTCAGCAGAAATTCCAGATCCTAATCTTGATCCCATGGGGTATGAAACAGTTATCAAGTTTATGCTGCACGAACCTTGTGGGGAAGACAACCCAAATGCACCCTGCATGAAGGATGGAAAGTGTTCCAAGTTTTCCCCAAAAGAATTCAGTTCAGAAACATGTTTCGACAAGTTTGGAAATGCAGTATACCGGCGCAGAAATTCAGGAATTCAGGTGCAGAAAGGGAACTCTATTCTTGATAATAGGCATGTCGTTCCCTATAATAGAAACTTCTTGGTAAGAGCTCAGGCACATATAAATGTAGAGGTGTGCCATAAAGGAGGATTGGTTAAGTATTTATTTAAATACATAACTAAAGGACCAGACATATCCTTAGTCATTGCTGAAGATTCAGCATCAACAACTCAGGTCCCATCTACAAGTATGAAATACAGGAGTTCATCGATTGTCGATCGCTTTCTTCATACGAGGCTGTTTGGAGAATAAATGAGTACCCAATTCATCACAGGGAACCAGCGGTTGTGCGCCTAGCCGTTCATCTACCGGGGCAACAAAAGATTCCATACAAACAACAATCAAACATCCAGAATATTTTGCAGAATCCAAAAGCTGGAAAAACACAGCTAACATCATGGTTCTTGCTTAACCGAATGGATCCTCAAGCAAGAAAACTTACATATGCTCAGATCCCAAATGTGTATACTTGGAATGAAGAATTTAATGAATGGACTCCACGAAAGAGAGGTTTTGCGATTGGAAGGATTGCGTATGTTCCTCCAGGCAGCAATGATGTGTTCTTCCTAAGACTAATATTAACAAAGGTATGTGGTGCTTTAAGTTACTTAGATTTGAGAACAGTTCGGGGAGAAGTCTGCACCAATTATGAGAAAGCCTGTGAGAAATTGGGTCTTTTATCTGACTCTTCGGAGTGGATTAGGGTACTCTAGGAGATCTCAGTATCTAGCATGCAATATCTAATAAGGAGCACTTTTGTATCCATGCTGATGTTTTGTGAAATACCTAATCCTCTTGCCTTATTCGAAGCATCTTGGAAATTGATGAGTGAAGATCATGTTTATTCTTTGCGTAAACGACTTTGCCTGCCCACTTTTGAACCTTCGGAGGAAAGGCTGCGCAATTGGGTGCTCAAACAGCTCCAAACTTTGCTTGGATCCTACTCTTCGTCACTGGATCAGTTCGGCCTGCCAAAGCCAACAGATGCACAAGAAGATGATGAATCAAACCCACTGATCAATGAGCATCTCCATTTCAATCCTGTTCAGCAAGAAAGCCTATTAGACACAATGATTCAGTCTTTGAATGCTAAGCAATTTGAGGCTTTCTCAACAATTATACTGTCGGTCAATAACAATCTAGGGAAGTCATTCTTTTTATATGGTCATGGGGGAACAGGGAAGACTTTCTTATATAATGCAATCATTGCAAAGTTGAGGAGTCAGTCAAAAATTGCAATTGTTGTGGCATCATCAGGAATTGCAGCAACTCTTCTTCCAAATGGCACAACAGCACATTCGAGATTCAAGATACCTCTACATGTCGATGGTACATCCACTTGCTCGATTAAAAAAGGAACACACCTAGCTCAACTGATACAACAAGCATCATTAATTGTTTGGGACGAAGCACCAATGACACATCGACATGCATTTGAGGCCATCAGTAGATCATTCTGTGATTTAATGGATATACCCATAGAAGGACCAGGCCATAGATTATTCGGGGGAAAAACAGTACTCTTTGGTGGCGACTTCAGACAGACACTGCCATTAATTGCAGATTTTGGCCGTGAGCAGACTCTGGATGGATCCCTCACAAGGTCACCTATGTGGTCTTCATTTACTATGCTCAAACTATCAGAAAACATGAGGTTAGATAATTCATTAGCAAATAGGGCATTAGTTAGTGATGGTTACACATTTGGAGAGTGGGTTCTTGCACTTGGAGATGGAAAGCTTCCAACAGAATCATTCAAACAAAATGCTCCTTCAGACTGGATACAAATTCCTGAAGTGTTTTTGGTGCCTACTACAAATGAGCCAATCCAATCTATTACATCAGATATATATGACTCATTTGCAGAAAAGTACAAAAACACTATTTACCTTACAAGCAGGGCAATAGTTACACCAACCAATGCTAAGGTCAACGAAATCAATGACTATATGCTTCAACAGCTGCCAGGGCTGGCTCGCTCATACCACAGCTCCGATTCTATGCAGGTTGATACAGATGTTCCAGAATCATTTAACGAAAGCTACTTGACTGAATTTCTGAATACACTCACATTCAATGGCGTGCCAGATCATGAAATCAAACTGAAAGTTCATGCTCCAGTAATGCTGCTCAGGAATTTGAGTCCTTCAAATGGTCTTTGTAATGGGACAAGAATTCTGATAACTTTCTTAGGTGAGAACATCATCAAAGGCACAATTATGGGAGGATCTTATGACACAAAATTGGTGATTATGCCAAGGATAGTTCTCAACGTAGAAGATAAAAGATGGCCTTTCATTCTCAAACGAAGGTAGTTCCCGATACGACTTTGCTATGGAATGACCATAAACAAAAGCCAGGGACAGACACTTGATAAGGTTGGGGTATATCTGTCAGATCCTGTGTTCAGTCATGGCCAGCTATATGTGGCTGTTTCAAGAGTTAAATCAGCAGTTGGTCTGCGTTTTCTGATCAACAACACCGATGATGTTCCATATAACTACACAAGAAACATTGTTTACACAGAAGCGTTTGAAGATATCAATACAGATCAAAACATGCCACAACATACTCTTCAGGTAAATCTTTATCTTATGAGAATTCAAATAACTACATATTGTTATAAGCAATATATTGACCAATAATTTGCATTCCTGATTCCATTCACACTCATGCTCATTTCAGGAGTGATATGCTCATTTCAGGAGTGATACCATCTTTTGCAGAGACAACTACCATCTTTAATGCGTATACTCTCTTTCCTGTAACTTGGAAGAAAAAAATATGAAATTGAATATCACTCACTTTTAATTCTGGAATTCCATTTATGTGTTCTTGCTGTTTGTTGTGAGTTCTTCATCAAATATTTAACAAGCCCAAGGATTGATTCCCCGAGATTGATAAATGGTATGGAAACCTGTTTGTTCAACAAACGACAACGTTCTATTTATTGAGGTAAATATAGCATTCTTCAAAACAAGCCCATATAGATGTTGGGCCCAGGTTTATGCATAACTATCACTTACAGGTATGGAAACCAGTCCACTCTCCGTAAAAGAACAGACTTAAACTAGAATGGCCAATATTTGGGGGTTCAAGAAAGGAAACAACACGTGGGAAATACTAAATATAATTAAAGTCATAAGCATGTTACTGTTGCACAAGAGTTTTACTAATGTGCACTGCGGGTTATTTTTGTTTGTATCACAGTCAATGATTTTGCAGCTCCAATATGGGCTTTATGGTTTTTAGACGTATTTTGGTATTGGGCTTCTGTTTGTGTGTAATTTTTTTTTCACCGATCGTTTTTTTCTCCGTCTGGGTAGCTGGATGGCTCTGGCCAGTCTCCAACCTATCTTCAATTTTCGTCGATCGATTCACCATCCCTCTGTTCTGATTCGTAGATTCTTCCTTTTTCTTGCAGGTATACTTTTTTTTTTTAGCTCTTCGTTTTTCATTGCTTCTCTGTCGAGCTCCAACAAATTCTCCAATCGAAATCGCTAGGTCAATTGAATGATAAGCTCAAGAGAGATCTTGGTCGCAAACCAAGTAGCTAAAGAGATTTGGTGGGTCGCTTAAAGCAACCTTGAAGCTTACTGGCCCCCAACGTCTGTTGTTGTTACTAGCGCGAGGCGGAAGAGGGTGTTGGTGGTGGACAGAGAGGGAGATGATAAATTGGGATTTCTGGGAGATGTGTTTGGCGAGATTTTGGCTAGCTTTGGTCGGAAATAAGATTCGTTCGATGTAAGATCATCGGAGGACTATTACGGAAGGAGAATGGAGAAGTGGATGCCAACCGTCACAATTGGAATTGGTGGTATTGTTATCTGTTTCTACTCAAATTAAAGGAAGAAGAAGTAAACAGAGGTTGAGCGGACTATGATGGTGCATCTACTAAGAGGGGGATACAGAGTTGAGGAGGGTTTGGATGGATTGACCACAACAGTATGCAGCTGCATTTTTAATTGGATATAGCTTTCTGTATGCAGCTGCATTTTTAATTGGACTTACAAGTTCAAGTTGAAGAAGTTCCCTACTGCAGGCTTCTAATTTGGTTCTGAATGATGGGTTTCTTCAGGGTGGGAATTTGAGAATTCACAGTAATGGCTTTTCATAATTTGTGTTTTGTTGATAGATTCTGTTGAATTGAGGTTAATTCAAATTTAAAACAAACTAAAGAATAGGTTTTGGGTGGAGAAGAATTTTGAGTTATTGAAATGATTTTTTTATGCTTGATTGGCATGGACTCGCTGTTTTAGAGCAGGTCTATGCTCATGGGATCACCAAAACCTTACTTTTGTTCCCATCACCATGGCAAGCAGCAACGTATGCCTTATCATATGCCCAGAACTAGAGCAGCAATTCAATGGTCTACTTGAGAAGGTTGAAGCCCAAAATGCACGTGGAGCTATTTGCATCAGAAGAGTAAGTTCTCCTAAATGCCAATCCTTGGAAACATGTATTGATGTTCTGAATTTTGTATAGTATGGTTCCACTAAATTTACATCAGAAGAGTTACTTCGACTTATGGTTTGGGCCTTGGGGTTCCACAAAACTAAGGGGTCGTTTGGAAGTTGCGATTATTTTGTTGAGATTGTCATTATGCATGTATTGTTTACAATGCATCGTTTTTTTTGTTTTTTTAGCAGAAACAATACATGGATTGTTTCTGTGATGTGACAGAAACTATCACTCATTTTGAGTGATTGTTATATCTCAACTTTTAGTTGTGATTGTTGAGATAGTTGAGTTGAGATTGTTTTGTCTCAGCTTTTAGTTGATGCGACATACACAATCACACATACCAAACGTTGTATTCTACAATGCATCAAATTCGACAATACATGTATAATATTATACATGCATTCTCAACAATACATCTATTTAACAATCGCAACTTCCAAACGACCCCTAAATGTTGTCAAAGCTGCCAACCAGCTATACATGAGTAATCTTTGTTCTTACTAATGGCTGAATATTTGATTCCGTTCTAATTAATTTGGATAGGTTGGAGCGTGGCCTAATCATGCCTAGCAAGCTAGGATGGAGAGGATGTGCTGAAGGAAGGAACAAGCAACAAAAGTAGCAAATGCAACCCCTTCAATATCTTCGATTTCTCTTATGGGGGATATGAAGGCAGGTAGTTTATGGAGTAACCACTGGTGATTATATGGTGAAAAATCATGTCTGAGAGCTTGCTGCAACTTACCCCAAGATTCCCTCCATTTTGCAATCGTTTAAGAGTCTGCTTATCATGGTGGATGCAATTATGTAAACCTTTCTCTGAGCCTCTCCTTTGTTAGAGGGTTAGTTACACTTCACTTAGTAAGATGTATCTCAATACCCTTGCTGCATGTACAAACTATCAATACTAATTAAGTCACATTATTTCTTATTTTATCCCGACTTCATCTTTTGATCGATTCACTAGCTTATATATAGTAAATTTTTATATTTGTTTGTTCTTTTCGTGTGTTAGAGTACTTACGAGGTTGACGGGTTAGCAAATAATGCAAAATAAAACTCTATTATTGCCGCAGCAAAGCGCGGCACACACACAACCTAGTAAAAAGAGAAAAAAAAACAACAACTTTTGGATTGGATTAAATGGGAGCTGCTATAACACTTCAAAAACAAAACAACTTTTTAGTCAATTACGGTTTTTTAGTCAGTTCCCAATGAATGCCAACATCGTTATCATATTTATAAAATTAGTATACAATTTCATTTGTCGCAAGTCCCAGCGCGGGCAATGAAGACTAGTATGTAAATAAATTAGTAAAAATGAACCATCAAGAAAGGAAAACCAGTCAAAGATGGTAGGAATCATGGTTATAAAATTGGTTTACCAAGCCTTATATGAATTGGAGAATCAGAGCTCGAAACGAGTTTGAAAGGTTACCTATTCAAACTATCTTGTTGTACATAAGTGTACTAATCCAAATTTTCTCGTGGTAGCTCGTGATTTGAATGTCCATTATTGAAGGGTTCATCTCGTAAACTTGGAAAAAACAATTTACATAGACGGGTTTATCTTGCTCCATCAATGGTTTCTACTTCAACAAAATACTTCGTTCATTTTGCTGTATAAGCAATCAAAACCAACGGAATTTATGCCTTGGAATCCACTACTCAACTACATTATATAATGGATTGTGGAATCCCTTGAAACAACTAAAATGCCAACAACTACCTCAGAGCAACTGTTTGTATGTCGACATTGCTTGGACCACAGAAACACATTCATTACAGAAATGGATAGGGAGGGGAAGAGAATAATAATAAAAAAACCCCTAATTTGTGAAGTTTGATTGGAGACTGGGTTATCTTATGCCATACACAGCCAATATAGTATAATAATAAATTCCAACACAGTACTGTCTTGGAAATTATGTTTGGAAGAAACAAATTAGCACTACCTGCTAATTTTGGTTTGTCAGAATCTGTATCTTTCACCTGCTATACCTGAATAATCAACCCCATAGTCCAAGCCAAATGTAAACAGACAACTGCAGACATTTGGTTCAGATTCATATTTAATTATTGGCATTTGGATGATTGAACATTTTGAACATTATCGACAAAAAAAAAACATTTTGAAAATTGAATTGGATGAATTTTTTTGGCTCAATTGTATCAAAATGAAGCAACAGGAAACACAGAACAAGGATGCATCATTCAAGTCGAGACCATTTGAATTGTTTCGTTTTGCATAAATTTGAATTGATAGAAGAAGAGGCAAATATTTTGAAGGGATGCATCAATTATTAGATGAGATAATTACTAATTAACTGAATCAAATTTGCTTAAATCCATCCGTACAAACAACCCCAAATGATTTCTATGAATTCTGTGAATTTCAAGGATCCTGTGGGATCAGAGGATCTGGCGTTTCGTACCCACACACACACAAAAAATGAAGTTAGGTGATATCCTCCAAGAGTAGAGTACAAATGAAACGAAAGCAAGGGACAAAAAATGATCCAATATGACAAAATCATTGCCTTTTTCTCTTCACTAAAGAACAGTTATTTGGGATTTTATAATAAGATTACTAGCTGGAATGCATATGGGGTTTTGATTGTATGTTTTGCTTACTTATGTTGACACAAATGATAAAATATTGGGTTGTTGACATGTCAAGCTCTCACACAATTCAGGGGAATATGAAAAACACCAATCATGAGAAATTGCATGTGAGATTGCTGAAATGATTCGTGTGAATTGTTAAACCGGTTTGTGCCAGTGTGTCGGTTTAGCAAGTGGAATGATTCGATCGTTGGTATATACTGGTTTGTGCCGGTTCATGCCGGTAAATATTATAAATAATTTACAAATACTCATATTTAAACACGACATTTAACGTCAATACCTAAATATTTGTACTTGAATCCAACAAATAACATCAACATTTAACTTTTTAACACATAAAATAAATAATAAATTACTTTTTATCAATTAAATTCACTAAGATAAGATCATTTTACTTGGAGATTCGTATATCGATCATGCCGGTCATACCGATGGTGTCATACCGATTTTATGACCGGTATAAATTGAACCAGGTTCAACCAGTGGCACGCCGGCCGGCATGACAACCATACTATGAAGTCTTAAATCACTCCATAGATCTCAGAGAACAATAAGTTTGGAGGTACAGAAGAAAAGATTTGGCTTTACACTTAAATACGGAAAGCAAGTTGACTCGTAAAGAAATTGAGCAAGTTTCTATTAGAGTACCAGCAGATGTCCATACCAGCTTGCTTGAAGATAAGTCGAAGGGGAGAGCAGTCAATTCTAGGACAGTTTGGATAGAAATGAACATTGCATCAACCATTTCAGAGATAGCTTCAAGTTGAGCAAAGCACCAGGTTGGAAGACCCGCTCAAGACTGGCTTAACCTTCCTGTGAAGAAAGTAACAGTGGGTACACAAATTATGAATTGACATTATCCATCGTTTGTTGGGACGAAAAATGGTTCCTTATCGAAGGCTACCAGTGGAAGTTGGAGGTTTCGGCTTACCTCAGACAGTAGACCTCTCCATAAGTAGATGAATGAGTTCGGCCGGGTCTTGCTTTCTGCAGTTTAAATAATCAATAGCAAAGCATGCACATATGTTCTTTGTCTGCCATTAGCCATTTTTCTTCATATTCACGTACCGGTAAGTCGTGATGGAAGTAAGGCCCCGAAGAAAATGAGATGACTTCGGCCTCAGCTAACGTGTCATGAGGGTGTCTTGAGACAGTTGTCGCACGGGTTAGAGCTAATTTTGCAGGCTTTTCTGTCAAATGATTCTCCAAAGTGTTCCAGCAACGCTTGTCTGCGACATTCGCCCTGCATATTGAGATAACGAAAGGTAATGAGGCAAGCAAGCGAGGCAAAGAAGGATGTCGAAGCAAGGTATAAACGAACTTCACGATGCCTATGAGGCTAATTACTAACCTTAAGTTCACAATAATCGCGCATCTTTCTTGCTTGAGCCATTGCTGTCGTGAAAGTGTCTTTATGAAATCTTTGTCCACTCCTTAACATACAGACAACCCTGCTGAAATCCTTCTTGTGGAATAGGGCAATGCACACAGCAGGGAGATTATCCCTCCCAGCTCTTCCAGCTTCTTGATAATAGCTTTCGATTGATTTGGACAGTGTGTTGTGAATAACAAAGCGCTGGAACACAAAGACAGAAGGCAGTTTCCAATCTTTAATCAGCAACGGGTAATTTTTTTACAAATGCAGTCTAGATTGATTTTTCAGTTTTATGACACAGTTTTGTGTACAAATGCACTGAATCAGATAATGTTTTTACAAAAACACCTCAGACGATAGCATGCAAAATAAACAACATGCAATTGAGACAAATAACATTGATTTATAGATTATATCGAACAAAAATAAATTATGATCAAAAGGTGCGCTGCAGAAAATCCGATGAAAAATATGCCGAAAGACTGCAGGTCTCACTACACAGCAAAAAAGTAAAATTCAAGCCAGAACTTACCACATCAGGTTTGTCTATCCCCATCCCAAAAGCAATCGTTGCACAGACAATTTGTACCACTCCAGTGTGCCATTTCCTTTGCACCTCAACTCTTTGGCGAGCGGCAAGACCAGCATGGTAATACGACGTCTTAATCTTGCACTTGTCGTTCAAGAAGTTTGAAACCTCAACACATTCGTTCTTAGACAGGCAGTATACTATTCCACATTGATTTTTGAAGCGATCGGTGATGAGCTGTCCAAGCTGTTTTAGTGCGTCCTTATCTTTGGCAACGACTTCATACATTAAGTTAGGCCTGTCGAAGCTTGTTTCAAGGACAAGAGCACGTTCAATTCTTAAAGCTTTTAGTATGTCCTGCGTCATTACCAAAGTAATGAGATGAATGCATTTCTATTGGAAACTCTAAAGATAGACAACTTGCAATCCCACTACCTCGCGGACTGGATGGGTTGCTGTGGCTGTTAAAGCCATAACTGGGACATTTGAAAAGTTCTGTTTGAGACGTCCCAACTCCCTGTAGTCGGGGCGAAAATCATGTCCCCACTGACTGCCATGTAGAATTTAAGGAATTAATGGCATATTAACTGATTTTAACTATATACGCGTTTATATAGATTACAAAAGCATAATATCGGAAAAAGGATATAGAGTTGACTTCCACAATATTTGAATGATCGAGATCATAACTATTGTCTAACATATGTCTAACATGGCCAGCATTCTAAGATCCATAATCAAGTCACCGAAAGGTTTTTTCCATGTTCATATTGTCCAAGTCAGCAAATAAATTCCTGGAGGTTACAAGGAATTGATGCTTTTAGAACTTCAAAGTGCGATGCATTTGAACACAGAAGGAGAAAACCTGAAAAGAGAAGTGCTGAAGGGCTTACCTAACACAATGGGCTTCATCGACTACAAAACCTGCAAGCTGGCCCTGTGATTATAGGAGGAGCATTTGTTACCTGCCGTTACAAATGTGTTGTTGGGTATAAGATTTGATCAGTTCACTCGGAAAAATTTACCTTCCGGTGCAAGCATTTGAGGGTTTCGAAAAATGACGCATTTCCAGCAATCCTCTCCGGAGTTACATATAAGAGTTTGCATGATGGTTTGTCTTTCCTGAAGGTGTACAACGGGAAAGCAAATCTTGATCAAAAGGATGAGAAATCATTTGGCTAGCCAAAAAGAGGAAGACAACTGGTTCGAAGAGTAGAACACACTAGTCCATTGTAAGCATAAGGGTAAACTTGCCTTAGTTCTTGGAGGATTGCGGCTGCCTGAGCAGAAGTTTGCTGAGAATTGAGGAAAGTTGCAGGTATCCCAAACTTAAGGTTTAATGTAATGATCTGGTCCTGGATGAGGGACAGCAATGGAGATATAACTACAGTAACGCCTGGTTTCAGAGTGGCTGGTAGCTGCACAGTTGTAAGGGAGGTAAAAAACGTCAAGACAAAAGGCAAAGCAGCTGCAAAAACATGCTAGCTAGCTAACAGGCCGAGTAATTACATATCCAGCAAATGTAGTATCATAGAAACACAGAAACTAATTACCTGGTAGCAAAGACTTTTACCACCTCCAGTGGGCATTAGAACAAAGCAGTCTCGTTTCTCCAACGTTGCTCTACAAGCCTGATGCTGCAACGGACGAAAAGCCTTGTTCCCAAATATGACAGCATTCGCCAATTCAATGTCATCCAGTCGTTGCAGTTGTTCATAACTCAGAGTCCCATGTACATCCTTTGACACCGTAGGGGACTGCTTCTTGCTGCCACCTGATGCAACTGAACCTTGGGTAGCCGTGCCCTTATAATCATTCAATACAATCCAACCAAAACTCGTCAGTTCATACCTATCGTTAAGGTTTCAGTTCAACAGCTAGCCTCGGAAACCTCACCCAACCAACAAGATCCAAGCAATCACTGAAAAGCAGGCCGGATAAGAGCCTCTACTCTAATTAATTTATCAGAATCATTCTTACGGTCAAAATTAAAACAAACTAAAGTTGTCATTCCACAATTTGCAAGGTAACTAAACTCGTCAATCTCTCGATTAACAACAAGATCGCCAGCGAATCGACCAAGCGCGGACACTGTGAGGGCCAAAATGCAAGATAACAGAAGCCATTCAATCCCATTCAGTTCAGAATCGAAACACTAGCTGAGAGATAACTTCTTACCCTAGATACAGAAGAGCGGCCGAGCGAGGAAGCAGTTACAGAACTCTTTTCACCGGACATGCAAAAATCAGGATCTTCATCGCTATCACTTGTTGACAAGTCAAGCTCCATGAAATCGTGCCGCCTCTCCTTCTGAGGCGAGTCGTCGCTGAGGTTGATGTAGTAGCCGTTCGCAATAGAACCACTCGCCTTGCTATCGTTCGGCTCTCGAGCAGTGTTATTATCCTTATCGAACATGTCATTCAAGGTGCCGCAAGCTTCGGATTCGACAGCTCGCAAGTCGTCGTCCCAGTCCTCGGCATCCTCCATGGACGCGGCCAGCGCCGCGAGGAAATCGTCGCCGCAGCACTCCACGGTGACAAAATCTTTCCCATCGTCGCCTTCATGTGCACACAAAAGGTCGAATAAAGAGAATTATAAACGAAGGAACGGCGGAGAGGCGGAGTGGAGGCCGTCCAAGGGAGAAATCGTTACCGTAGAGTGAAATCAAACGGTCCAGGCACCTGTTGGCCGACTGCTCGTCGAAGCCGAGATCCAGCGCCAAGCTTAGAAATCTTACTTTCTCCAGCTCCTGATCTCGCCCGACCATTTTCTTGCTTACGACCTCGAACTGCCTGTTCAGATAATTTCTAGAGCGTAGACGAAGATAGAAAGTTGGAATTCGAAAATGGCGATCGGGGCGAACTGAAAGTTAAAACTGGGAAGAGCGGCATATCTCCCGCTGTTTCTTTTTAATTTTCGGCTCCCGGGTGATAGCGCGAATCGGGCCAGTTTACGGCCCGGCCCATTTCGTATACACTCGAGCCTCCTCGGCCCTTGCTATAGCTCAACAGTTACTGCCTACTGGGCCCACTAATATGGTTAATTACCAATATATCACCCCACTCAGCTTTGTGTGCCAACCGTCACACGAAGCACTGAAGTTGGGTATCATTATCAGAAGTGTATTTGGTCCGATTCAACTGGTCGATTGTGATTCTGTCTGTTTTTTCTTTTCATTTTGAGGTGTATTTGTAAGTCCGAGATTATTCGAAAAGCTTTTTGTACTATTACACCTCTAACCCTAGTATTCACGCTGAGTTGTGATGATGAGTATATAAAAGGGTTTGTAGGCCTTATTGCCGTGTACTGCTGCAGCAGATTATTCTGCCAAATCATAATAAGAACGACTTAGAATTCACGTTCTCGTGTACTAGTCATGTTCTCACCGAACAGGGAAACCACGTAAATCTCGTGTTGTTTTGTTTTCCTCTTTAAGATTATCGCTATTTTACATGGTATCATAGCAGTGATTGATCGACCATTCACATATGTTTATAAGCTGCAATCATGATTGGAGGAAACGACAAAAGCGGCATCAAGGAGGTCGTCACCGACCCTGATTCGATTCCACTCACGTTGCCCTTATACCTCCACTATTCTGAGAATCCTGGTAAATTATTTTGGAGTGATCTCTTGACCGATACAAACTATGGTGAGTGGGTAGGTGATATGATAGAGACCCTCATCGCTAAAAATAAACTCGCGTTTGTTGACGGAAGTTTTCTACGTTCGAAAGTTGGGACAGGGATCCAAGATGATGCTTGGGTCAGTGTGATGCTACCGTAAAGGGGTGGCTCAAGAATGCCATGAGTAAGGAAATCAGGAACAGTGTTCCCGAGACTCTTACCTCATACGAGATTTGGGTTGATCTCCAACAACGCTTTGGGAAGGGATCAGCGAGTCGAGCATATGAGCTGCGATGCGCCACCAGGTCCCACCGATAAGAGAAACAGTCAATCTTCGCCTTCTACACGAAACTGAAGACGTTGTGGGATGAGTTGAACTCGGTTTCCCTTAACCCCCACTGCACATATTGTGCTTGTACATGTGACATCGAGCGTCAGACAAGGGAGAAGGAGGAGGCAGAACGCCTTTTTGATTCTCTGCTAGGGCTAGACAATGCTTTCAACGTCGTCCGGTCACAAATCTTAAGCATGAAGCCCACAACATCACTTGCAGAGGCTTATCAATTAGTCGCTGGCGAGCAACAACAGTGGTTGATCACAACTAGTCGCAAGCCACCTGTTGAAGCTGTGGCATTTATCACTCGTGGAGATAAATAAACCGAGGAGGATAAGCCACGATGCGCTCATTGCAACAAGTTGAGGCACACCAAAGAGTTGTTTCAAACTCATTGGTTGCTCTCAACACAATGGTAAAGGTCTAAAGGACATTCTAGAGAGCGTGGTGTTGGACCACATCACATCAAAGGGGACAGAGAGAATATGCAGGTTCTGGCAGCCAATGTTGAGAGTGAAGAAAGCCTGGGCCTTTCAGCGGCGTAGTTTGATAAGCTAAAGGAATTTCTTTCCTCTACGTCACCTGCACACATGCGGCTCGAATAACTAATGGTGATAGTATATCGGTCACATGGGTTGGGAGAGTAACTCTGAATGAGCGTCTTAGACTTGATCGCGTGCTTCATGTGCCCATATTCAAGTGTAATTTACTGTCTGTTAGTCGTGTCACCAAAGATCATGATGTTGCTTTGCTTTTCTTGTCAATCTTTGTGTTATTCAGGACTTACGCTCCAAGACTATGATTGGAATAGGCCATCTATCTTCAGCAGACTGGGATATGGAGCAAACACGTGATGGGAAGCCCCCGGTCCGAGTTCTTGCCACGGCGGGGAAGTTGAGTGCAAAGCTCTGGCATGATCGACTTGGACACCCCACTCCTGCGAAACTTTCTCATTTTAAGAACACTATTTTTTTGGCTGATTTTTGTCAAGACAATCGTCATTGTGATTCTTGTTAACGTGCTAAACAAACTAGAGCACCTTTCGATTCTCATTATATAAAAACATAGGCTTGTTTTGACATTGTTCATATGGATATTTGCAGTGGTTATCAGACCCCTTTTTTGATGGATCGCGCTATTTCATGACAGTGATTGATGATTATAGTCGTACCACTTGGGTATACCTTCTTAAGCTTAAATATGAGGTTGAGTGGTAAATCCAACTTTTCTGTGACATGGTTCGAACCCAATATGGAGCTCAGGTTTGCAAGATACAGACCGATAATGGGTTGGAGTTTGGGACGCATTCCTTGCATGGTTACTATGCGGTGAATGGGATTATGTTGCAAACTTCTTGTGTAAACACGCCACAACATAATGGTGTTGCTGGGTGATAACATTGTATTTGAACATGTTTTTCCCATCATTTATTGATCATTTAATCTCGCTTTCTCGCTCTCGTTGTCTATTTTACGCTAGGTTGTGTTGGTTTATGATGTTTCAGGTCCTAGTACGTGAATGGGTGCAAGAGCGCATTTTGGGACGTTTTGGAGTGATTGGACAGAAAGTAGGGAAATTGGAAAAGTTACTGTCAGACCTCAAAAGTTATGGTGTGGAACGTAACTTCTCCATGAGCCTGTAACTTTGGAGGAGCGAAGGCTAGGAATCCAGAAGCACTTTTAAAGTTACTACCAGACCTTCGAGGTTACGGTCTCAACACCCATAACTTTGGGGAAGCGATGCCGAAGGTTCCAGGAGAGTTTTTGAAGTTATGGCTTACCCCTCAAAACTACGGTCTCAACTGTAACTTCTCTAAAGGAGCCGTAACTCTTAGTTTACGGAGCACAGAGATGACGACGTTTTGTGGAGAAGTTACGAGCTGGGAGAGGGAGTTATGGCCTTAACTTTGGCCATAAATCGCGAATCTCCAACATATAAAAGGGGCAGCTTGGGAAAATTGCCAAGGATCCGGATTTTTTAGTTCTAAAGAGCAGAGAGAGAACCCTAGAGAGAGAAAGTGACAAAAAACAACCCTTAGACAAGGATTGGAGCGATTTGAAGACCTCGGACCTCGATTCCTCGCTCTCGGAGTACTGATTAGCCGCTTGGAGCAGATTTTCATTGTCTGCATGATGATTCCTCCTCCAAGCATGATGTTTCCTCTTCTCTCCTTGGATTAAACTCCCTTTTCATCTGGGTATGAAGAACCCTAGTTTTGTATGCTAGGAATGGTTGTATGAACCCCGTTTGCGAATGATTGATTGATATATTCAATTGAGGCATTAATCAGAATTGCATGAGTCTTGATCAAACTTTTGTGATTCATGCTTTAACGTAGAACGATAGTATCTGCATAGGTTAATAGAGCAACCTTAAATTGGAAGTGGTAAATCGATTGCTTTAGTCGAGAAATCGATTCACTGCTCTGTACTGGAATTAAAGCCAGTAGAGGACGTTTGGTGTGTTATTGCCTTGGTTAGTTTATGCCGTTGGAGGTTAGTTACCTGTCGGGTATTCAAACTAAGAGCTTTAGTCGAGATTCGAGACTTGTCAAGAACTTTCCGCAGTATATCTATCAATCAGAGTAAATTGGGAACATATAATCTGAACTAGCTGCATACTAGGGGGAACCATACCTGGATGACCTTTAGCATACTTGAAAACCCAAAACATTTCCTGCTTTTGGTTTAATTTTCATTTGAACAACTCACTACACTTTAGTTGCTAGATAATAGAAGTTTACGAAGTAGGCAGTAGATCTAGACCCCAGGTTGATAAGTAAAACTTACCCACTATTATGCATTTCCATTCTATGATTAACTTTATCGAGTTTGGTGTTGTGTTTTAGCGAGTCACTGAGCGCAAACACCGATATTTACTGGAGATTGCTCGGGCTCTTCAATTTCATTCGGGACTTCTGGTGCGGTTTCGGGGTGAATGTGTGTTGACAGCCATGTATCTCGTCAACAGGCTTCCCTCTTCCATTCTCAATAACAGGACACCTTTCGAAGTGCTGCTGGGCAAGCCACCGTCATATGACCATCTCCGTTTGTTTGGTTATTTGGTCTATGCGAAGGATACATCCCATGTGCTCGACAAGTTCGCCGAGAGGGAGAGACCTTGCATTTTCATGGGGTACCCCGCGTCTCAAAAGGGCTATCGAGTGTCCGATTTGAAGTCATAGTGTATGTATTCGTCGCGTGATGTGCATTATATTGAGGGGACTTAGCCTTTTCGTGAGCATAGTGGAGAAGCTATTTCCCTTGATCTTCATAAGGGGCAAGGCAATAATGATGTGCCCATGCATGCAGATCATGATGGCTTTGATGATGATCTACGCCCTGGTGAGGAGTATTAAGCCACTAATGACTTGGATGAAGATCAAGGCGTGGGATCTACTTCACCCATTGTGGATCAAAATGCACAGGTTGGGGATGGGCAACTTTATCCTAACGTTGTCCCTGTTTTGAGACGGGGGACACGGAACCCTTAGCGTCCACTAGACTTGCTTAATATTTATGACACACAGCCACCCCAACAAAACTCACAGGAGGCAGCCCCATCATCTCATTCGACAGAGTCCATATATCCACTTGCTCATCATGTGAGCTACCATCGTTTTTCGAGAAGTCACCGAGTCTATCTTGCGGCTTTGTCAAAGGCAGTGGAGCCGAGATTTTTTGCGCAAGCAGTCTTTGACCCACGATGGAGAGAGGCCTTGCAGCTTGAAGTCACAGAACTTGAGAAGAATGGTACCTGAACATTGGAGTACCTACCGCCCGGGAAGAAAGCCATTGATTTTAAATGGGTTTTCAAGGTGAAGTATAAACTAGGGGTGAGCAAAACAAACCGCAAACCGGCCCACCCGTCCAACCTGACCCAACCCACCCGTATTTATTGTTAAATTAAAATCTAAGGTTGGGTGAGGGTTTTAATTTCTACAACCCGCCTCTATTGGGTTGGGTGTGGATTTTGGGTTACGCAACCCGTAGAACCTGACCCAACCCGTGTTCCAACTATAGTCATTAATGTTCGTATGCAAAACATATTTGTAAGAAATTTAAGTTATTTTATCATAATTTTCTCTTGTAGTTTCCCTAATATGATACATTGTTCTACTTAAAATTTAGACGTATATCTAATATAGGCTACAATTCACATAATTTTTCGAGTGTATAATTTTAGAAGAAGAATATATTATGAATGCGTTCACTTATAAGCATTTTAGTTTATTTCGACAAATGTTTGTGGGAAAAACTAGACTTTTTTTGAAGCAATTTTTTTCCATTAAAATGCAAATACCATTTATGCATTTTGATACTTTTCGCTTTGATTGATTTGTTTAAAAATTTAATTAGTTATAGAATATTTTGTGATCTAGAATAGTTGTATTTTTTTGTGTTGGGTTTGGTTTTTAATTAAAAGTATCTTCAACCCGACCCAACCCAACTATAGACAAACTCTAGGGTTCTAAATTTTTTTTGTGGGTTTGGATTTGATATTTTTAAAACCGTAGTATATGGATCGGGTGATTAAAATGAGCAAACCCGAACCACCCGACCCATGTACATCCCTAGTATAAACCAGACGGGTCCATCGCACGTTTCAAAGCACGACTGGTCACAAAAGGCTTCACGCAACTGGAAAGAGTAGACTTTCACGACACGTTTGCACCACTCGCAAAGGTTGTCATAGTCTGCATTTTGATAGTTGTTGGAGTCATTAAGGGCTGAAGCCTGCGTTAGTTTAGTTGGACGTGAATAATGCATTCCTCCATAGTGACCTGGAAGAGGAGGTATACATGAAGGTACCTCAAGGTTTCACCCAGGATGGAGATAACCGTGTTTGCAGACTGAGAAAATCCTTGTACGGGCTAAAGCTGGCATCACGAAATTGGTACCAGAAATTCATGTTGGCATTGGGCGAGCTTGGTCTCAAACCCTCACGGGCAGACCACTCTTTGCTTCCCTATCTCGGTATCTCCAAGGGAAGAGTTTCGTGGCAGCTCTTATCTGTGTCAATGATGTGATCTTGATTGGCAATGACCCCTAGTTCATAACTCGAGTCACGAGTTTCCTCGACCAGAAGTTTAGCATCAAGGATTTGAGAAACCTCAAGTACCTTCTCGGCATTGAGGTTGCATGGTCCGACGAAGGGGTGATTCTTAGCCTAAGAAAATACACTTTGGACATCGTGAGTGATGCAAGTATGACAGGACCTAGTGGCTTTCCGATGGAGCAAAACCACAATCTCACTCGGCCTACTGATCAAGTTGGCGAGGATTCGAGCAGCTATCGCTATTTAGTGGGACGCCTGTTGTATTTGACCACCCGACCTGACATCTCTTATACGATCAATATTTTGTCGTAGTTTGTTCATCGTCCTAGTCCTGAGCATATTGCAGCCGCGACACGGGTCCTTTGTTACTTAAAAGCGGCGCCTGATCAAGGATTATTCTTCCCGACGAATAGAAGTCTTGAGCTCGCGACTTACTGTGACACAGATTGGACAAACTTCCAACAGACCCGGAGGTCAACCACTGGTTACTACATCCAGCTAGGGGCACGTTTTCCTGGAGGACAAAGAAGCAGCGTGTGGTCTCCAGGTCCTCAAATGAAGCCAAATACCGAGCCATGGCAAGCACCGTTAACGAGGTACTTCGGCTATGATTTTTTCTTAACGAGTTGGGTCTTTGGCAAGCTGGACCTACTCCTCTCTTTTGTGATAACCAGGCAGCGCTTCACAATGCTGCTAATCCCGTGTTCCACGAATGAACTAAGCATGTTGAGATGGATTTATATTTCATTCGGGAGCGAGTCACATCCAATGAGATCGAGTCGCAAAAGATCGGGACGTCATCGCAGCTTGCAGACATTTTTACGAAAGCCCTAGGGATGGAACAGTTTCATTTTCTTCTGTCTAAGTTTGGGATTCGTGACCTTCATGCTCCAACTTTAGGGGGAGAGTTGAGGTGTATTTGTATGTCTGAGATTATTCGAGGAGCTTTTTGTACTTTTGCACCTCTAACCCTAGTACTCACGTTGAGTTGTGATGATGAATATATAAAAGGGCCTGTAGGCCTTATGGTCGTGTACTGCTGCTGCAGATAATTCTGCCAAACCATAATAAGAACGACCTGGAACTCACGTTCCCGTTGACTAGTCCTATTCTCACCGAACATGGAAACCACGTAAATCTCGTGTTGTTTTGTTTTCCGCTTTAAGATAATCGCTATTATACATTTCATATCAAGAGAATTAATGAAATCAAAACTGAATCAAATAATCTTATCCAATATAAAATTTATCCAAATATTGTTTGGTCTATTGTGAAAAAAGTTGTCTGTCCATCCTCGTTATAACTTATACATGTCACATTGTAAATTGAAATCACATATAAAACAACACTATATGTGATGGTTAGAAATCGTGATCCGTTATATAGTCCAAAGTGCATATATATTATCATTACCTGATAAATCGGAGATACAACATATGCACATTGATCCATCTATGTTTCCTCTCTTCATTGTTTTACTAATTTTCCCAAACAGATTTATGGACAGAAAAATATGATTATGTACGTAGTGCAAATAACCACGTTGAATCGATAAAAAAATAATAAATTGATCATCATCAACAGCCATGGATGATTCTGGAGCAAGTTTGCTTGACCCAACGACAACTCTTCTTTAAAGACGACTTCACCTTTCCTTCCATGGCGTAAAGCTTGTACCGTGCCACCCTCTTCTTCCTCTTGGCATCCGGTGAATTCCACCATACCTTCAAGGCATTGCCATCGCGTTGCCTCGTCGGATGAGGAGGGGCCACCGCCGCTAGTCGCCTCGCATGGTGGTGGCCGGGTGGCGGTGGGAGACGTGCGGACGGTGGTGGCCTTGGGGGTGGCGGCAACCGGTCCGTTCCAAACCTGCTCGGTTTTCCTCCTCGCTTCTCATCCATGGTTCCAACCATATTTGAATCTGAAATGAGTTGGATCTTTATTCTTTGACCTTCAATTCATATTATCCCTCCAATAAAGTAATTGAAAATTTAGGGTTACAACATTAGGAAGAACGATAACAACAATGAAATTTTTTGTCTCTGTGTCAAGATTTTCCTCTCCCTCTCTCTCGAACGAGATTGGGAGAGACGGAGAGGAGAAAATCTCCAGACAAGAGACGGAATTTCAGGCCTAACTAGAGAAAAAAATTCATCAAAATCTAGGCTTTCATTTATATAATGGAGGAAGAGGTCTGAGTTGGGAGGTTGTGAGCCGCTGCCTCTTATTCGTGGAAGACATAAATCAGAGAGATTAAAGGCTAGACACATAGCTAAGTACATGACTTAGCTAAACTTACCTTAAAATAGGAACCCTAGGCATTACTCTACTTCCATTGATATCTTTGGGCTTTTTTTGTAGCGTGCGCCATAGGCCCACCAACCAATTCTTTGGTATCTTTATGCATCCTTATGATTTTGAACATTCAACAAATCATGTTCTATGTCTATTAGACTATCATCTATCTTTATCATATATCATCAAACATTGTTGGTCTGCTGTTCATTGCCAATTCGTGTTGTCACCCTACATGCCATTGTCATTTGTAGCAATAGGATCCATGTGTTGTGTTCATTGGATTGTTAAGTGTCCCATTTATGTCAATTTCTACCGAGTATATCTTCATTTGCAAAACACCCATGTGATTTTTCACATCACCATGCATATGATTCTCATTTATATCCATCATCATTCATCGTATCATTATTAATACCCTCTGATCTTTGTCCAGTAAGAACCGGATTCCGGTGGAGTCTCCTCATGGAATTTTAAATAAGTCGTTACCATCTTTTGTTTTTGGTATGAATATAATAGTATCTAATTTTTTTTGTTAAATTTATGAAAAATATTTATCATATTTATTATGTTAATGATTGTTGAGCTACATAATACACCATATTTTCATTAGTGTACTGTGTAGTGGATGTTGACTATTAATTTATCACTGTATACTTAACACAAAATTCAAAAATATTTTGTGTTACTAAGTTTCCTAATTTAGTAGACCATAGCATTGCGTGGTTGCCAACGGTAGCTTAACAATGCTTGCTTGTATTGAGAAGTATATGGAAAATAAAGCGTTTTTGTTATACTTTTTATGCTCTAGCCTCATTGAATATGACATCATAGTAAACCCGCCAACTTTGTTCTTTCAGATGTTAATTTTACTTGAACTCCCTAGCTAGATTTGTTATAATTTTGATATTATAGACTCTATACTTCCTAGCTATTCCGCTTGCATAAATTGGGAGAGATCCCTTCATTTGCTGGCTTGACCATATCTCTTCTACAAACTCACCTAAATTTGCTCCACTTTCTACTCATTCTGCCTTCCCATTTGCCACTTTCTTTCCCCATTTTTCTCAGATGATCATTTGTCTATTTCTCCAACTGATTGCGAACTCCACCAACTCGTTTTAAAATATTTCATCACTGTCATGATCTCAATCCAACTGCACTTTGTATCTTAATTCTCAACAGTGGTTTGGTGATCACTATCAACACTCGCAGAGTGATCATGAATGGCATCCTCGTCATATCCATAAGATCATTGACCCTCATCAAGCAAGAATGAGTATTTAGACGAGTACCAAAAAATATGTTATAGGGTTTATTTCTCTCTCAGGAGTGGAAAATTTCAATAAATTTTAAAGATAATTTGAAAACATATATGAAATTAGTTTCATAGCTCAGTGGATTAGAGCGTCGCATGATTGATTGGAATGTTTCAATGGACCATTAGCCAATGTTAGTTTTATGGGAAAATAGAATGAAAGAGTTGATTATGTTCACTTCAACTCGTTTTTTAAATGATGTTTTGGTTTCCTCCAATATTTCACGAAATTAGAACTTTCTAACAATGACAAATCCATACCTACAAGTGGTAACATAATTAGCTTATTATATTGTCACCTCATGCTTAAGACATTTCTCGGGAGGAGAAAAAAATTTTGAATTCATACTAGATTCATGATTATAGACAAGGTATGACACACACTCAAATTAGTTTTAGATCATGACTATTTTGTGTTTGTGTCATTTTACTCAAATTTATAAATAAAGCGTTGTTAACTATTTTTTTATTACCCAGGAACCTCAGCCCCACGTACAACTTTGTGACAACGGGGCCTATGCAATCAATTCAACGCCAACAGGGCTTCGCCCACAGCAGTCTTGTACCTCCGGGAACACCAACGGGCCTCACTTGGATTCGAACCTGGGATCTGCAACTCTCAAACCTTCACTGTCGCAACAACTTTTACCGTTAGGATATCTTAACTTTGGTAAGCGCGGTTAACTATTACTTATTCAATACATTGAATTTCTTTATTCTATTATTTATCCAATTAGTAACATGGATACAAAAGTTGTAAATATATGCAGTCTTGTAATACATTAACAACTAAGAAAATGGATGTCAGAACATTAAACCTTGTATTAAATTCGCTAATCTCAAATGATGTTCAACATAGTCTAAATGTAGTTTCTACGTAGAACCAAAGTGAGATGAATAGAAAATGTAAATCTATATTGTAGAAGCGTAAAGTTCTACATATCATGTGCAATTGCAAAAGATGGCCTGACTATGATCGACAGTCCGACCTATATAAAAAACAAACTTCAATGCATATTTTTACGAATCATTTCAATAACTTGTTCAATACATATTTTAAGAAGGACTAAATTACACCTTTGATCACTCAAATTATACAAATATTTAACGTTTGACATCCAAATTACTTTTCTTTCTTATTTGATCACTAACTTTACAAATCATTTCACCGTTAGTCACCGACCTTTACACTCAGTTAAATTTGTTATACGTGGCAGTCAACTATAAAGTTTGACCATTAAATAGATGACGTGGAAATTAAAAAAAATTATTTTCCCACATCATCATTCCACTTGCTTTACCTATATGATTTACCAAGCACTACTGCCGATGGATCTTATCACACTTTGGGGTAAGATTATACTTCGATTAGTACTGCAGCTTTTCATAGACGAGGAGCTAAATTACAGAAGCTAGTAGTGACGAATAAGAAAGAAAAGTAATTCGAGTGACAAACGTGAAAGATTTGTGTAATTTGAGCGAATAAACGTGTAATTTAGACGATTTTATATAGTGAGATTGTAAAGCAGCAACAGTTTACGTAGAATGCGTGTTTTTTCTAGCTCAAATCAATGTCTCCGTAAACTCTGAGTAGAGATTGAAACCTCATTTCTTAAAACTGTTAACCAATGCATTTCAGCTAAGTATGTTGCATGTAACAAAAGCCTGATTGCAGATCTAATTCAAGTATTGATTAGCTAGCAAAAGTTCATTCATATTTTCTTATCGTGTTGACGAGAAGTACAAGGTTCTTGTTATGTAAATTAGTCTCTATCTCTTGTCCAGGTGTAGATACCTGTTTGAACCTAACTGAGTGTAGGAGTTAGATTCGGGTGAGAGTTTGGGTCAAGAAGAACGCAAGCGTGGGGATCCACCGGAGAGAGGAGAATTGGAGGATTTGACGAGGAAGAGAGTCCAGATTTTAGAGAGAGAAGTTGTTGCTATAGAGAGAGAATGCCCAAAAAATGCGATCCCCTCACCCACCGTAGTAAATGCCGTATTTATAGGCTTCATGGTGGTGGGTGAGTGGTTGACTCATGTGAGGATACAATGATGTGACTACTGGGATACAATGATGTGACCACTAACATACTAAGGATTTTAGGCTATGTCCTGTCCATCCCTCTACCTAGGGCGTGTCAGAGGTCTATCCATGGGCCTGATGTGACTACCTTCTGGGGAGGAAAGCTGCGCTTTCCTCGTCCCTTGGTTTAGCCTACGCTAAGCTCTCCCTTGGCGCGTGTAACCCACTCCGCGCCTAAGCTCTTCGCGCCGAGACGTGGTTAACTGCGATGAGGTGTCGCGCTCGGGGTCTTCGCGCTGCCTCGTCGGGGTATATTTGGTCGCGCACTGTTCGTTGACGTGGCTGGGCCCGACTTGCTCCTTGGCGCAGCTAGGCCCGAGTCACATGCCCAACAATTGCCCCCCATCAGGGGGTGTTCTATGAATGCCCCCTGTTTGGATTTCTTCTTTGACAGACTCGGGCCTGTGCGATCTCCGTGAGGCGGGTCTTTTGGGCTTATTCCGCTCGTTTATTCCGCTTGTCGCGGTCGGTTGGCTCCTGCGTGCGCTAGCGGTTGGGCTCTTACCCGTGCGCGATACTTTGAACCGGCGACGCGTTGTACTAACGCGCGCCCGTTGTTGGGCTTTGTTCTTCTCCGTGCGCGATACTTTGAACCGGCGACGCGTTGTACTAACGCGCGCTCGTTGTTGGGCTTTGTTCCCTGTGCGCGATACTTTGAGCCGGCGATGCGCGCATCCCCCAGCGTGTTGTCTTCCCCGCGCGGCACGAGGCGCGTTTTTCTTTCTCTTCACGGGTATGTCGTGCCCCCCAGGCGGTGCGCGGCACTTGTGGCGTCGCCGACTAGTGCCTATGATGGTAGGTATCCACGTGTCACTGTGTGATTAGGCTACTTGGGCGGGGATTTTTTGAATTTCAAAAAGATTTGGTGGGATCTGACGGTTACGGATCCCTATGTGGCTTTAACCCTTCGCATTCCGCTGGCCGACTTTGGCCCTTTGCTTTCCCCTTGACCGACTATAAATATAGGGTTGTTGTGGGGAGGGAGGGTTCACCTGTTTCTTTCGATTATTGCCTCTTTTTTCTTTCCCTGAGATTTCTCTCCTCCTTTTGCAACCTCAATTCTCTTCTGATGTTGCTAAGTTCGAGTCGGTATCATGTCTAGCATCAACAACAACGAGGCTGAGGTCGTGCAAGGCGAAGAAGGTAATTTCTCCCCTCTCTCGCACAGTTCTTCTGACCGTTCCGGTGACGGGAACGGTGGTTCT